ACCTCAGCGGCACCGCCACCCACGGCATCTACTTGACCCGCTCCATGAATGACTATCTTCAAGCGTACTCTGACGCTGATTGGGCTGGATGTCCTGACACCCGACGTTCTACTTCCGGGTACTGTATTTTTCTGGGTGACAACCTAATCTCATGGTCATCCAAACGTCAGGCTACCACGTCACGGTCCAGTGCAGAGGCAGAATATCGGGCTGTGGCCAATGCTGTTGCAGAGACATCCTGGATTCGGAATCTACTCCTAGAGCTCCGGCAACCCCTACGGCGTGCCACCCTTGTCTTCTGTGATAATGTCAGTGCCGTCTACCTCTCATCAAATCTGGTTCAGCACCAGCGCACCAAGCACGTTGAGGTCGACATCCACTTCGTGCGAGATAAAGTCGCACTCGGCCACATAAGAGTTCTTCATGTGCCTTCCTCCTCCCAGTATGCCGACATCTTCACCAAGGGACTGCCTTCTTTGCTCTTCCTCGAGTTCAAGTCTAGTCTGGGTATCAGACCACCTCCACACCCGACGTAGCCGGGAACATGTTAAATATATTCTATATTTAATGTAAATATATTGTTTCCTATTATTGACTCCTACTGTGTATAAGAATAGGAATCTCATGTCTATATAAACACATGTACTCCCACATATTCTTTCAATGAAAATAATCTTTCTACAAGTAGTCCATATTTATTTCAATTCTTATTTTGAAAATAAAAATTGGGAATCCCTATTTTAATAGAGTATATTTTAAATAGTTACTTTTATTTTAAAATTTTTCCAAATAAAAAACACAATTACATAACATAAAATTTCCAAGATGCTAACTCTAAGTTCTAATAAAGTCGGTTGTCAAACAAACCCCAATATCCATCTCGTATGTTCGCAGCATGAGACAATTACGGAATCACCCTCCCATAAAAGAACAACATCATCCAGCAGGCCAGGCCGTATGGAGAAGAAGAAGACGAAGAGACACGCGGCCCATAACGGCGGACCTTCCCACGTTGGCGGCGGCGGAGGAGATACGGCCCGTCGGCAGCGCGGCCCACGGTCAATCGACGGGGTAAATACGGAGTCATCATACTTTGGGAATTAAACAATTTTTTACTAATGAGATGCGCATTTTAACAGTCTCCGCGTTCCTCGGCGCACGTTAGCGTCCCCCTCCCATAGCGGTGGTCTCCTCTCTGTTGCTCTCCACATCAGCCGCCCCACCCCTCCCTCCCTCCATCACTCCTTTATACCTAACCCTATCTCGCATTATGTCACCGTCCTCCGCCGCCCAATCGTCTCCTCCTCCGCCTTCTGGCTCTCGTACCGTCAGATCTTCCGTCTCTTATCGTAATCGATCCGATCCATGGCTGCATCGCCTTCACCGTCGGCAGAGGAACGCCTTACATCCCTGCCGGAGATCCCCTTCTCCAACGTCACCGTTGCGTCCCACGGCGGCGCTTCCTCTCGCCGCCTCCCTCCGCCGTGCTGGTCCAACGACGAGACCTCCGCTCTGATCGACGCTTACAGGGACAAGTGGTATTCCGTTCGCCGCGGGAATCTCCGGGCCAATCACTGGCAGGAGGTGGCGGAGGATGTCGCCATGAGGTGCCCCGTCGACACTCCCAAGACCTCGATGCAGTGCCGCCACAAGATGGAGAAGCTCCGCAAGCGTTACCGCGCCGAGATTCAACGCGCGGCCTCCTACGGCGCCGGATCCTCCCGCCGTTACTGCTCCACCTGGATCCACTTCAGAGGCATGGACGAAATGGAAAGGGGCCCAGATGCGGCCTCTCCAGCCCCTGACGATGAAGAATTGGAAGAGGATCAGGACGGTTTCAATCAAAGTAGCCTCAATCACGCCGGCCATATTTACAACCACAACAATCTCGGTCATAATGAACGGAATAGCTTTCAAGAGTCAGTGATCAACACGGGCGGACCTGGATTTCGGATTCGAGTTAACAGCGCGAGGCCTAAAGCCATCCCTTACAGCACACCTGATGAAATGTTGGGGCAATTCCCTAATCACAGCTTCAACAATGGATCCAGTAGATATCATAGAGGAGATGGGGAAACTAAGAAAGAGAAAATGGTGCTTGGAGAAGAGACGGGAAGGAAGAGAAGGGGTGATCCGATAATGGAGGCGGCGAAAGCCATCAAGGTAATGGCAGAAGGGCTTGCGAGGATGGAGAGTATGAAAATGGATGTGGCCAGGGAGTTGGAAGAGAAGAAGATGGAAATGGAGATGAAGAAGACTGAAATGATTCTCGAATCCCAGCGGAGGATGGTTGAAGCTTTTGCTGACGCCTTGTCCGAGAGGAAGGCCAATAGAATCCAAACCCCGGAACGGTAAGAGCGATTGTAGTTTTTATAGTCACTTGTGTTAATCTTTCCTCCTTTGAAACATCGGAATGAATTAATTGCTTGACATTGCCAGTTTAGCAAACCAACTGAGTATTTAAAGCGTTCTGAAATGAAGTTTATTAGATTTTCTCTAGGAATTGCATAATATGCTTAGACTATTTATCTGCTCCCAGACTTTACGTTGTGTGGGATTCTACTGGGATTTGTTGTTGTTTGCTGCAATTTGTTTAGAACAGCAGCCACAGAGCAGTGAAGCATAAAATGGCCTCATAATTTGCCTTTTCTGGAAACAGTTTTAGGGCCAAAGTATACTTTTCATGGGATGAGTGATACTATACTAGTTGAGGGTTAGTATTTGTTGAGGTTAATTCACACACAATTCAGAAATATAGAGAGGATTTTGCTGGTTTGACTCAAGTCCAAGCTACTGAGGTATAGAAGTGGAGTGGATAATTAAAGAAAGTTCAAAGTTTTTGTTAGACTTGTATTCTTCACCTTATTCTTTTTATTTATTACGGAGTATTTGTTCTTATTAGAATGAGATCATATCAGACTAGAAACAATTTAGAATATAACTACAATCACATTAGAACTTAATCAAATTCGATCAGATAAGTCGAGCATACCAATGTGTAAAATTTGAGAAAAAATCTCACTTTGCACCCTTAATCTGATAGCAAAAAAAGCAACATACACTTTCACCTTTGTAAAAAAAAATTATACTCCACCCTCAAAAATTAAATTTAGTTTCATTTTCCTTGAAAACACACATAGCATTAACTTACGTTAGGTTCAAGAACTTGTACGATGAACTATTTGGAAATTGGAAGTTGCAATCAAAGGAACAGTGAACATATACGACTATATGAAAATTGGCCACATTCAATGGGCTTAGTAGATGCCCCCAGGCCCACTAACAAATTTGGAGGGAAGGCAAGGGTGCGAGCTCCGACCACTTAACCTGAGCATGCCTCCTTTTGGGCCAACATGGCCCAGGTTCTTGTTCGGGCTCGGCTTTGTACTCGAACTTGGCCTCATCACCTTGGCCCATTCCCGTCAAGATCTAGGCTCATCAACATTTAGCCTTTATCCACTTGGTAGGATTAACTATTTGTTTGGGTAATGAGTGTTGGGCTGCGACACAACACCATACCATTCTTGGGCTTAGTATTTTAGGGCTACGGCCCATGATAAGCTGTACTATTTTAAATACTCTCTTCTTCCATGACTTAAACTTCCAAGTAGTTCATCGTACAAGTTCTTGAACCTAAGGGTAGTTAATTCTGCGTCTCAAGTAAATAGAATTATTTTTTTATTTTTTGAAAGGATTTTTTTTCTTAAATAGTTTACTAGGGAGTACCATTTATATTACCAATGTTGGAAATTAGAATTGTTTTTTTTAAAAAAAATCCTTCAAATCCAACAGTCTCTAAAGATTTGGGCTCATGGCAATTGTCCACAATGCCCTCCTCTACGGGCCTTCCGGGAGAGAGATGTATTCAAATCAATAAAAAAAACCCACAATATTTGAGCATATGTCTTATTTAGAGCATTGGCAGGGCGAGTAAAAAAATTGCCTCGCCCTGCCATGAGAGAAAAGCCGTTTCTTGCAACCGCGTGGGAAGAGAGAGGAGCGAATCTGCCATGCGTGCATATGGGTGAGGCACCCTTCTTTGCGAGGCATCTGGGAGGCAAACCCCAATCCCTTCGCCGCCGTAATTGCAACCCCAATCCACACCCAAACATCACCGGCCACACCACCCCAACTACCGTCCACCGTCGTGATCTCTCCTCTCCCCTGTGCGAAATCGCCAGCCGATCCCTCTGGAGTGCGAAATCGGCGAACGATCCTGAAAAATCGCCCGCCGGAGTGCAAAATCGCCGGCCGATCCTAGAAAATCGCCACTTACTTGCCACCCTAAATATGCAACTTTGAGGTGCCATGCCACAATTGGAGTGACTTGCCATTGCAAACCATGGAATGCCACACTCTTTGAACGATTAATTTTGATTGGTTGGAAGGTAACACGTCATCTCATGGCATTCTATTGCAATACTCGTTACTCTGAGTGCTCTTATACTTACCCATTTGAGGCCAATTGGCTTTGTTATATTTAGAAGGGAAAAATAAAACTTATCTTTCTTTCTTTCTTTGTCCGTTTGTAGCATGTAAAAAGTGAAGCCAGCCATAGAATAGAAGACAGCAACTCGATATTGGACGTACGTACGTACATCACTTTGTCTTTCTCCTTCTTTACTTCTCATTCCCTGTCCAGTCCAAAGAAAAAAAAGGTGGATCACCCAACTTGGCCGCCCCCACACTCCAACCCAACACAAAAAATATGGTGGTAAATCATGATATAATTTTAATAATAAAAAATTAATAAAAAAAAATTAATGTAAGACTGAAATATTAAAAATTCATTAAAATAGGAATTACATGTTTTTATTAATGTAATAAGAGTTAAAATACATGTACAGTATCAATAATGACAATATTTATTATCAAAAGGCATTATGAAATGTCTATATACGGTGTCACATTACCACAAATCAAACTCCGATTTCGGGGATAACAACATATAACTCCTATTTTGGTATTTGTTTTATGTTTTACTCTAATTTAAGGTAATTTGTTCATAGTTTAGTCATTCGAGAGGTCGTCCTTAAACACAAAGAGTTATCACATTATTAAATAAAATTTTCATATTATCGCCACCGGAAATCGACCAAAAGATCTCAAATTTGACAATTTTTCTCAGAACAATCCATCTAGGCTACCGGTGCGGACAACGGCGCAAGTGGGCACATGCACACAAAGTTAAGTTGTACGGGGGGAGTATAGCACATGCTTCATGTCCCCCCTCCACAATCCAACCCACGTACAACTGTCAACTGACATTATACTCTTTTCTTTCGTTCCTTAAAATCATTCTCATTTTAACTTTGGGTCAAAATAAGAAAAGTATAATTTCAGTTGATTTTCCAGTTTTGTTTCTAATGTGATGGGTAAAAGTAAGATGTGATAGTTTGGTTATTAGTGAAAAAGTATGATGTGGTAGGTAGAATATGAAAAAATAGGGGTAAAAATAGTTTTTAATAGAAAGTGAAAGTATTTTAAGAAATTGGAAAAAAAACGAAAGAGAAATGGTTTTATGGAACGAAGAGAATATATTTTTCTTGTTTGCCCTCACTCCCCATTATTTTTTTACTCCCTCTCGAAATAAATGTTATGGTTTAACTCTCATAGAAATAAATCAACTTTTTAAATTGAAATAATTCTATTAATATTAAATATGTCATAATTTGTGATATTTTTTTATAATTTATGGTCAAATTTTAAAAAATCCTAACAACAAAAAGTCAAAAGAAAATGTGATGAGTAATATGCATCCGTCCCTGAATCTCTTTCTTATTTTGATTACTCAGTATTATACGGAGTAACATTTAAAGTATTGATCGAGTAGGGAAGCTAAAGTATTGAGTCAAGATGCCTAAACAATTTTAACTAAATTTGAACACTGGAAACTGCATTTTAAATCAAGAGTCTTGCTGTATGCCCAAAATTGGAGACTGCATTTTGAATAATTGTAACATAAAATGGATTAACTTAGCTAGGGAGGATATATATGTGTGATTATGTGCAACTACAAATCCTAGAATATATATATATATATATATATATATATATATATATATATATATATATACACACACACACACACACACACACACACACACACACACACACACTCGGTAATACTCTTCGTCCCAAAAAAGAGTGTCACAGTTCACTACTCAAAAATCCCATGATCCAACTTTTGTTTATTTCTACGTTAAAATAAAATATTTTTGTCATCTTTTGTTTTGAAAAACTTTTGACGTAGTTTTCAAATATGTAAAATTTATTTTTTATTTCTATACTAACCTTTCAATCAAATAAAATGAAGAATTTAATATTTTACTACGCTTTAATCTGCGAAATGTGACAGACATTTTTAGACGAAGGGATTGGAGTATCATATTATGAGAGTTTGATGCATTGTTTTAATTAAGCCTCTAATTAAATTGAATGCCTGCATGTGTAGCTCAACTGGTCAAAGGAGAGGATGTCAAGCCGGTTGATCTCAATGTCGAATCCCGGCAGCGACTGTCATGTGTGCGAGTTCTACTATTTTTAATATCTCCTTGTGTGAACCGGGCACGGACGACATCTCTAATTAAGAACTAAATTGTGATTATACCATGATTTACACTCTCACAATTCTATCGGGTCAGAGTATGGGGACACCCTGGGTGGGTGTTCTAATTAAATTGAGTTAGGTGCATACAATGGAATGTTTATACGGCAGGGAGAGTACAATAAGTGTTATTCTTGAGTTAGCAGTGACATTCGTACATGCCCACGCTTGAAAAGATCTTTCAATTATTAGTGCTTAATTAATTTCACAGCTAAAATCAATTTGTCTAGCTACCAATTCATTAGTTATATTATGTGAACTCTTTCCCAAAATTAATTTGTCGTTAATTTATACCTACCAATATATAGCAATGCCTTTAATTTGGGTCATTTTATTTGTATATTAATTTATTTCAGACTCATCAAAATTAATCTACCCCATTTTGCTTGATGGCAAACGTTAGATGTTGTAAATTAAAATTAAAATAATACCAAGTGTATGGAAAAATATAACTAAAGTAGGAACAAAATATTGAAATATAACAAAACAGAATTTCCATTTACTTACAGTGTCAATCATGACTATATATATTACCAAAAAGTATTATGAAATGCACATATATAATATTACATTACCACAATGCAAATCTTATTTTGATAATAAAAATATAAATCAACTACGGAGTATTTTGAAACATAGGAGAGACAGTGGGCAAAACAAATTTCACTAATATATTAGGTCGTACAACACGTTACCCAGCCATTATTATCAGTACGTATGTATATATATAGGCCAAGCCAGCTGAATAATTAAACAAGAAACTAATTACTCGTGAGTAATTAAATCAAAAACATTGATTAACTAGTAACCAGTAAGTATATATATTTACCTGCTGCTACCCATACGCACACTAAATAATTACCCCTAATTGACATAAACAAAAATATATTTCTGATTTCAGCTTAAGTACGTATAAATAAACTACACTCATACACTATAATAATAATAATAATAATAATAATAATAATAATAATAATAATAATAATAATAATAATTAAACAGCAAGCTGCGGGTGTTGTTGTTTTTGAATTGCCAAAGAAGAAGAAGATATAGTAGTAGTAGTGGTGGTGGTGTTATAAGTGTTTGGAATAGAGATGATGAGGTCATCATTGAGGGGGGACGGCGGCGGCGGCGGCGAAGGGCGGAGGAGCAGCGTTTCGGCGTGGAGGTGAGCGCAGTAGGAGTGGAAGGTGGCGGGGGTGAGGTTCAAGTGGAACCCCAAACCGAACAGGAAATCAACTTCTAGAAGGTTCATCTCTCTTGTGCTTATCCCTCCCACCTTTGCATAGTATGCGTTGTTATAATACCTGCAATAAAAAATAATATCCACTCTCATAAACAAACTTTTATCATTTTTATTAAAAAGTTACTTTTAACCTTGTTAATTCTTAACATAACTATCACGTCACATTTATTCACTATTAATCTAATCATCAAATTTTATTTTTACCCATCAAACATCAAAGGACATTTTTGGAAACTCAACACTAAAGCCACTCCCAAATCCCTTAAAAATCAAGAAAGGTCTGAGACGATGGTTCACATTTTACACGTCGGCTTCTAGAATAATGGAAACAAACTCCTAACTTAGGTAAATCGCAAGATGACAAAAAAAGACCTAAACTAAACAAAAATTATTTTTATAATTTATTACATATTCTTATTAAAATCTGACTAGATCGAATTCAATTAAACCAGATCAGATTCGATCAGATCTTCCAAAAATGAAATCAAATCAGATTAGGCGAACGTAAAACAAGGTAGAGCACAAAGTGTTAATGTTTTGTTTTGGATTGATCCCTCAACAAAAAGAGTCACAATTATGTTACTTGGCGCTTAATTAATTAGCTTTGACCAAACTAAACAAAAACTCGGGGAGAGAATATAAAGTACTGTATAATCTTCCAAAACACAAAGAACCAACACATTCTTAGCTGGTTTCAATGGCATCTCTCTGCAGGCCATGACTTCATTTCCAAGCCAAAACAGTGCCTCGCTTTTTCTAATTCAGAATTGTAAAATAATTGATTAAAAGTAGATGATGAGCTGTTTATATCATCATAATTACTACTTGTTGGGTAGGTTTTTCTGTCAACGTCCCCAAAAAAGTGCAAATCTTTTTTTAGTTAATTCTCGAAAGTGTTTTTTTCAAATGAGTTTTCAATAAGTAAAAGTTCGATCAAATTAGTTTGACTATATTATTTTCAATTGAATTTATTAGAAAATTGGGTGTGAAACTTAAAATAAATTTTATTTTTTAAAAAATTACATCAATAGTCTACAAAAATAGAGTTGGAACATGACTATACTTATTTATCAAATACTCCCTCCGTCCATGTATGATCTTCCCATTACGCGTTACGAAGTTTGACCGACTTTATTCTCAATTCAATTTAATTGATTATAGGAGTAAAATTTTAAAATAAAATTTATATAGTAATAAACTACATGAAAAGTTCTACAAAACTAGAGGTGACAAGAATATATTATTTTATGAAATGACTAGTAAAATTGAGTAAACAAAGTTAGTAAAGTTTGACCCTGTGAATAGTGACTGGGAAGATCTATGGTGGACAGAGGGAGTAAGTAATAAAGATAGGCTAACAAAGAAGAAAAATTTTGACCAAGTGAAATGATATGGGCCACATAACTTTTTCTTGATTTTTTTTCAAAAAAACGTAAATAAGAAAAAAAAATAATTGTGAAATTTGCAGGGAATAGTAAGACATATTCTCTCCGTCCAGCAATAATGTTCTCATTGCACGTTACGATGTTTGTCCGAAATTATTTTTAAATCATTTTATATTAAAAATTGCATTGAATTGAAAAATAAAAATTACATACTAAAAAAATCACATGAAAATATCTACAAAACTAGATTTGACATGACCATATTATTTTATCAAATGAGCAATAAAAATACGTCAATAAACTAAATAAAATTTGACTTTGTAAATAATGAAAGAGAACATTATTGCTGGACGAACCGGCAGATATACAAAACGTAAGCACTGCGGGCAGAAATAAGACAAGGGTTCAGTGGCAGCACTCCCGGAATTTTTTCGTGTGAAAGATATTGTAAAACACTGTAAATATGGTAAAATTTCATCAAATATTTTAAAATACTATGTATAATTTATAACTAACTAATTAAACATTTTAAATTTAAAAACTTTACATAAGTACACTATTAAGATTAAATTTTAATAAAAGATTTAATTTTTTTTGATCCATCTATTTTAGTAATGATTTGGAAAAAATAGTGGGGGCATTTAATTTTTTAGTGGGCGTAAATGATTTTTTTTTTTGAAAAAATTGGGGTGCTTATTTAAATAAAATTAAAGTCATTGGGGCCAAGTGCCCCCATTAATCAAGATGTGCATCTGCTCGTGACGGAGGGAGTATGTTTTAATCTAATGTAAACTTTAAAACTTTTTCATTTCCTAATGAATAATTTAAAAATGTCTACTAGAAGAAATAATGTACAGTGGTGATAAATATTTACTAGAATAATATACTTAAAACTATATTACATAATTTTTTCAAGGTAATTTTGGAAGAAAGGGAGTGAACAGTAAATTGGAATGTAATACTCCCCGTCCCAAAAAGTCTTTCCTGTTTCATTTTTTGCGCATCCTATAAAACACTTCTACCGACATCTAAAATGCCTAAAATTTACAACATTTCTTCTTTATTGTGGGTAGAAGTTATTTTGAAAGTTTTTTTGGCATTCAAGGCAGGATAGAAGTGTTTTATGGGATGCGCAAAAAATGAAATAGGAAAGACTTTTTGGGAGGGAGGGAGTAATCGAGGGAGGGAGTATGTTGTAAGCTACAACAAGTCGTGGTGTTCACGGACTGATCCACTTCGCATCAGACAAACTGTATTTTTTTTAATTGTGCAATAAAATTGTGGTAAAAAATTTGATCCAATTCCATGTATTGTGGTAAAAAAAATTTAAAATTAGGCGAGAAAAATTAAATCTACTGAGAAATTAATTCCAAAACTGAAAAATATGATATAGCCATGTTGGTGAATAATGTTTTCAATTAACGTGTATATTTTGAATAAACCTTTGAAATGTAGATTAATTTTGAAACCGATGTTTGGTAATTAAGGAGGAGGAGGAGGAGGAGGAGGAGGGGGGGACATACATATCATCCATGAATTTGGCGGCGACCATGACGCTGGTGATGAGGAGGCGGTGGACGTTGAAGGAGTTGATGAGAATAGAGCGGTGGCGGTGAGTGAATCGGTCAAGGTACACGTACGCCACCACGAAGCACGCCGGGCTGCAGTTGGCGTACTTGAATATCCTCTCCAAGTAGCTCCGCACTGATATCCCCGGCCTCCTCACCCCGTGGAACACCGACACCCCTTCCCCCTCCTCTTCTGCTGCAGCCAGGTCGTTGGAGTCCGCCACTCGCTGCAGCAGGGAGGAGAGGTAACTTATGAGCTTCGGCGGCGGCATTGCGCCGCCGCCGCCCACCACCGCAAGCTCCGCCATTGCACTGCTACTAGTAGTAGTATTTGTTGGTTGTTTTTTGGTTCCAAGCACGGAGAGGAAATAAATTAAGATTGAAGGAACAAACAAAATAATTTTGGATCGTATGGTTTGTTTTTGATGTTGAAATTTTGATTTATACAAGGACGGGGGAGAGGTGGGCCATCCACCCACATTTTGGGGCTGGGCCCTGGGCCCACTATTCTAACTGGCCGATGGATGGACGGACCGACGCTTCTTTTAGTTTTATATACTTTTATTTTCTCTGTAATACGGAATAGAGAGTATTTCTTTCGTTTCAATACACTTGTTTAGTTTAATTTTTTGAATCAAATTAAATAAACCAAATAAAAATTATTTTTATAGTAATTTATATTATAATTTTAACTTAATTAGAGTTTAAAATTTGGACTAATATATTGGGACAAAGTTAGTGCTTAGTAGTCACTAATTAATCATCGTCACATGCCAATTTACCCTATTCAATTTCCCTTCCCTCACTCACCATATTATTAATAGAGGGGTGCGAGACTGCCAGGGGAAGAGAATCCTAAAATTTTGACACTAAATGTACATCAACGCCAATAGATACATATTCGGATATTTGATGTTTGTACCAACACAGACACTATGTGCATTTGGTGTCAAATGCTTGCGGTTCTCCTAGTTAACATATTACTGGTCATAACCAATTGTGTCTTCACCATGTTATTCGATCCCAACCCAACTTCTATCGATAGAATCTTTCAGCATAGACAATTTTAACCAATAAATCGTAAAAAATGTAATTTATATGGTAAGTTTTTGGTTCTTAATCTCTAACATTTTCCCCTAAACTTCATGTGCCCCCCCTTTCTAGCCCACTTAGATTGTTGATTGGTTGGTGGCTATAGGAAAGTAATCCAAAAGGGGATTGTCGCAGTGATACGGCTGCGGTGGCGCCATCAGGTGGTAACCTAGGAGGAAGAGACAGACCCCGAAGGCAGGTACGGGCGCCCCGTCGCTACGACGACTATGTTTAATGTGTACTTTTTTATATCATTTAATTTCATTCATGTAACGTAGATTTTCTTAGGAGAGCGGTCTATAAGCTCCTTCAAGGGTTTTCTTTTCGGTTCTTTCCCTTGTCGTTTTTTTTTTAACCGACATGTTAGTCGTAGGGTTTGAGGAAGTCCATCTTATAAATACGTTCTTGTACCTCAAAATAGCCAAGCAATACTACACAACTATCCTCTCCCCTAAATTCTTTTTTCTCTCTTCCTTCAAAACCCTAATTATCCTTCACTGGTTTTCCTCGCCTGTGGCCGCAGAACCCCTACGGTGGAAGTGGTTCTTCCTATGGCTACGTTTGTGTGATACAACTCGTATCAACTGGTGCTCTCGTTCTCGATCTCATGGCGGCTTCGTCGGAACTTTCCTCGGTGACTTTAGCCGATATCATGCAAGCCATAACCACTCTCAGCTCGGACTTGCAGGCCACCAAGCTTCGTGTGGCTGAGATCGCAGCCAATAAACAGCCCGACGCCTTCCCAGGGTAGTTGGCGGCCGCCGCCGTCGCGCACCACTCCACCATCTTTCGACCCAACACCGCGTATGCGTGTGGATGCACCGCGTTTCTTGGGGGGACGATCCCACCGGCTGGATCTTTAGGGTTCAAAAGTACTTCGACTACTTCTTGACCCCGGAGCCCGAACGACTACAATTGGTTGCCATGTTGATTGACCACCCGGCTTCCGAATGGTTCCATTATTATCAAGCTAATAACATTGACGCTACTTGGCAGGAGTTTTTGGAGGCGGTGCACCAACGCTTTGATTTGGACTACTACGAGAACTACGTGGGCTTACTATCCAAACTGAGGCTATTCTTAATAAAGTCTTGGGAGTGCCGGATGCCACATTGATTGCCATGTATGTGGCTGGGCTTCGACAGCCGTTACGTCGCGAGGTGAACCTGCGCTGCCCCACGTCTCTGCTGGCCACGTTTGCATGGGCGAGGGAGCTGTCCGCTTGCCTTCAAGAGGCGGCTGTCTCCTATGGCACGGTGGGCCGTCGTCCATGGCTGCCCCGCTCAGTTTCTCCTCCCACCGCTGGCCTCTTTCCCACACCGAACCCAGCGACAAAACCATATTTTAGCCAGCCACGGCCCGAGGACAAAACTTCATCCTTACCAGTGGTGCGGTTGTCCCATGCGGAAAGGACCGAACGGAGTAAAAAAGGCTTGTGTTGGTACTGTGATGAAAAGTGGACATCGACTCATAATCGCAAGAGGCGTTTTCTAGTGCTCATGGGCCCAGATGACGATGAGGACGAGCCCGACACGGCTGGGAATTTGGAGTCGCTTTCGGATAACCCGGTGATTTCGGCAGATGTCTCCAGTATACTGGCCCTAGCAGGCAGCCCAAGCCCCAGATCACTGCGTATGGCCGGAATGATCAAAGACGGGGTGGTCCAAGTTCTGTTAGATGGGGGCAGTACAAACAATTTTATCCACCCAGCGGTCGCCGAACGGTTAGCATTACCCTTGCAGCCCGTTACCTCCTTCCGTGTTTATGTTGGCAACGGGGATTCTTTGCGTTGTACCTACTCGTGTCCCCAAACCCCGCTTTCGTTGCAAGGCCACTGTTTTGACGTTGACTTATATCTCCTCTCCATTCACGGCCCGGACGTGGTTTTGGGTGTACAAGGGTTGCAAACATTGGGCAAGGTCGCCCATGATTACTCTCAAATGACTATGGAGTTTTCATGGAAAGGCGGCACAGTTTTATTACAGGGCGATCAGCCACCTCCGCGCCCAGTCACGTACGACCAGTTTTGTACCCTCGTGGCAGCATTGGAGACCCATGACATTTACGAGCTCCTCCTGGCAGATTCAGAGTCCCCTGTCACGCCTCCGTCCTCCACGACCACCCTTGATATTCCCGCGGATGTACCAGCTCCAGGTCGGGCAGTTTTGGAAGCTCAGTCAGCCGTGTTTGGCCTTCCCCAGGGGCTGCCACCTTCTTGTTGTTGGGATCACCGCCTCCACTTGGTTCCGGGAACCAATCCCATTAATGTGAGGCCATATCACTATCCCTGCTTCCAGAAAACGGAGATCGAACGTCAAGTCCGGGAGATGCTCGAGCAAGGCCTCATTCGTCCGAGCCATAGCCCTTTCTCTTCCCCGGTGTTACTGGTCCGCGAAAAAGATGGCACTTATCGCTTTTGCGTCGATTACCGGGCCCTTAACGAGGTCACCGTTCCGGACCATTTTCCGATCCCTACCACCGATGAATTGTTTGATGAGTTGGGCCACGCACGCATCTTCACAAAATTGGACCTCTGCTCCGGCTATCATCAGATTCGGATGCACGCCGACGATACATTTAAGACCGCGTTCTGAACACATGATGGACACTATGAGTTTTTGGTCATGCCATTCGGCCTTACCAACGCCCCATCCACCTTTCAAAGTGCTATGAACGCGATCTTTAAAGACTATTTGCGCAAGTTTGTTATCGTCTTCTTCGACGACATTTTGGTCTACAGCACCTCCGTTGATATGCATGCCGACCACCTCCTGACCGTCCTTCGCATCCTTGCTAGTCACTCTTTTTTCGTCAAGGCTAGGAAGTGTTCTTTTGGGTGTTCTTGCATCAGTTATTTGGGTCATTTCATCACAGAGGGCATGCTCAAACCAGACCCTGACAAGATTTCGGCCATGGTGGCCTGGCCCACACCATCCTCGGTGAAACAACTACGCGGGTTCCTCGGACTCACGAGGTACTACCGTTGGTTCATCGTGGGGTATGCTTCAATCGCCGCCCCCCTCACGGAATTGCTTTAAAAGGACAGCTTTGTTTGGACACCTTCGGCCGAGAACGCCTTCACCAGCCTTAAGGCGGCGATGACATCCGCCCCAGTTCTCCGTCTCCCTGACTTCACGCAGCCCTTCTATTTGGAGACAGACGCGTCCTCGTTCGAAATCGGTGCGGTCCTCATGCAAAATGGGTACCCCTTGGCTTTCTTCAGTAAGAAATTGGGTATTAAAAGGCGGGCGGCGTCGACATATCACAAAGAACTGTGCGCAATTGTTGAAGCAATTCAAAAGTGGCGTCAATATCTCCTCGGTCGTGAGTTTATTATTCGTACGGATCAACGCACTTTGAAGGAGTTAGTGTCTCAAGTGGTTTAAACTCTGGATCAACAATTTTATGTTCGCAAATTAATGGGATTCAAGTTTCGGATTGAATATAAGACGGGGGCGACAAACAGAGCAGCAGATGCCTTATCACGCCGAGATGAAGAAGAGGACACGGTGGGTCTCTTCATGGCCCTGGTACAGCCTGTGCCACTCCTGATGCATGACCTCCGGCTGGAAAACCAGTCCCTGCAAGAACTCCAGGAGCTCCACGCAGCAGTCTCGGCCGACAACGCTTCTCCGGATTTTTCAGTACATGATGGGCTGTTATATTTCAAACGGCGGTTGTACCTGGGCAGGGCTTCCTCACTGCTTTCGGCCCTACTGGAGGAGTTCCATTCCACTCCAGCCGTAGGTCATCAGGACCAGGAACGCACCTTCTAGCGGTTGGCGCAAGTATTTTACTGGCCGGGCATGCGGGCCGATGTCCGTCGTTTCGTAGCTTCTTGTGCGGTCTGCCAATCCACAAAGTATTCGACACAAAAGCCCGGAAGTCTTCTTCAACCTCTTCCCGTGCCCGCTCAAGTTTGGGAATCGGTCTCGATGGATTTCATTACTGGATTGCCCACTTCCAGAGGGTTTTCCATCATTATGGTGGTGGTAGATCGGTTGAGCAAGTACGCAAATTTTGGGCCATTGGCAGTGGGGTTTGACGCGCCGCGGGTAGCCGGACTTTTTGTTGACACAGTTGTGAAACTTCACGGTTTTCCACAGACTATTATTCCGGACAGGGACCCGGTATTCATGAGTCACTTTTGGAAGGAGCTCTTCCGGTTGAGTGGGACTTCCCTCAAGTTTTCCACGGCCTATCATCCTCAGACGGACGGCCAGACCGAGGTCCTCAATCGGAACTTGGAGCAATACCTACGCGCGTTCGTCTCGGAACGTCCGATGAAATGGTCAGCTTTTCTTTCTTGGACCGAGCTTGCTTTGAATTGTGGTCGCTGTCCATCTTTCCGATTATTGCAGTGCGTTCGCGAGTACCGGAGGTGGAAGAGATGTTACGGGAGCAGGCGGACCTGTTAACCGATCTTCGTGGCCATTTGATACAAATGCAGCAGCGTATGAGGTCCTAGGCGAACCAGCATCGTAGAGACGTGTCCTTCGCAGTTGGGGATTGGGTGCTTCTCAAGCTTCGGCCGTACCGCCAGCATTCGGTGGGCCGTTTGAAGTTTTGGAGAGAGTGGGGGCTGTGGCATATCGTTTGCGTCTTCTGGATGGGTGTCGTATCCACGATGTTTTCCATGTTTCTCTGTTGAAGCCATTTGTGGGTAGGCCGGGCGACACACCACAGGTTTCTCTTCCGGCGCAATTCTTTAAGGGGCGGCCTGTTGCAACCCCAGTGGTAGCTGTGGATCGGCGTACGGTGATGGTCGACGGTGCTCCTCAGGAACAATGGCGGGTGAAATGGTCAGAGGGGTCCAACGACGACACTGCGTGGGGGCCGCGAGACGATCTGGTGCGTCTCTTCCCAGACCTTTTCCTTGAGGACAAGGACGCCCTTAACGGGGGGAGTTGATACGGGTGCGGTGGCGCCATCGGGTGGTAACCTAGGAGGAACGGACAGACCCCAAAGGCAGGTACGGGCGCCCCGTCGCTACGACGACTATGTTTAATATGTACTTTTTTATATCATTTAATTTCATTCATGTAACGTAGATTTTCTTAGGAGAGCGGTCTATAAGCTCCTTCAAGGGTTTTCTTTTTGGTTCTTTCCCTTGTCGCTTTTTTTGAACCGACATGTTAGTCGTAGGGTTTGAGGAAGTCCATCTTATAAATACGGTCTTGTACCTCAAAATAGCCAAGCAATACTACACAACTATCCTCTCCCCTAAATTCTTTTTTCTCTCTTCCTTCAAAACCCTAATTATCCTTCACTGGTTTTCCTCGCCTGTGGCCGCAGAACCCCTACGGTGGAAGTGGTTCTTCCTATGGCTACGTTTGTGTGATACAACTCGTATCACGCAGGCTAAAATCCAACAATTTTGCAAATAAAGTATCGTACGTAATTGCTCAATTAGAGCCGATGTCATCAGTTGATACTCATATCTAACCATACTCACAATATCAATTATGGTAGTTTCTTTAATTTATCTTGCTTTGCTTCTATTAATTGGTAATTTTCAATGTATGTTTGGGCTGCCTTAGAAATAGAATTTTCAAAAAAATACTCCGTAATTTTAACATCTTAATTAAAAGGGAAAAGGGATGGGAAAAAGTCAAAAAACAGTTGAGTGCTCTATGGCCGTTAATTTTTGGAGGGTAGATTTACTCGGAGAAAAAAAACATGGAGTAAAAACACAAAACAATTTGAATAATGACCATCTTGTCCGATTGAAGGAAATTATTAATTGATACTCCTTTTTGACTAGAAAAGTTTTAAGATTTTGGGGGTTCCATCTATATATACTAACTGATTCATTCATTTGAACTCAAGTGTTGGCGTCTTGCTAGACATTTCTTCCATTTTACACAAATTTCTCAAATTTCACTTAAATGTTAAAAAAATAAAAGAAGATATATAGAAGAATTTGTTTTCAAGATTAAAATATTAAAATCACATATTATTTTCAAAATAGGATATCAAAAAAAGAAAAAAACCTTAAGAAAATTAATAATGTCAAAGCGTATTAATTCTCAATATATAATGTCAAGATATTGTGAAACAACGCCAAGTTGTGGAGTTACACGTTCAATGACATGATCAGATTTTCTAGGAGATATTGTTAGGAGTCTCGGTGTGTTGGGTTTCTCCCACACTGGAAAATCAATTAAATGTTACCCTCATATAAAGAACGATGAAATGCTACACATTAGCTCAAGCTTTTCGATACAAAGTGGATCTGAATTTTATATGGGTAAGTGGTCAATCTCACTCAACACTCTGCTGAGTTTACTCGGTCCATCGAAATTCTAACATGGTATCAGAGCCAAGTTCGGTTCAGGTTCGTTTCATCCTGGTATTCATCGGACTAGCTATAAAGAGATTGAGACACTAGACTCATCCATTCATCCAAGAAGTTAGGGGTGAGCAAGTACCGAACCGATACCAAAATTTCCCGAAAAAACCGAGAATACCAAACCGAAAAATACCGAACTGAAAAAGTACCAAGAAGGAACCGAACCGTACCGAACCGAATGGTCGGTACGGTATTTGGGAACGGTACGAGGTGACGTCCCATATCAAAAATCCCGAACCGAACATATATACTAAAATATTATAAAAAATAATACCCCGGAGTAATATTTTTATATTCCTTCACTAAATAATATTTTTTTTAAAAAAAAAACATCGGTTCAAGTTCTATTATGTGTAAATTATACTTTTATTTGAGTTTTAGTTTTTGTGTATGAACATAAAAGTATTCACAAAGATTTGAAATACTCCTTTGTTGTCATTCATTTTTTTGGTTTGTGAAATATAAACTAAGTTTTGATACGCATCTCTTGCATTTAAATATTCATTTTTTTTTAATTTTTCATGTTTTTTATTTAAATTCACTTTTAATTTTCAAAAATAAAGAGGCGTTAAATTTTAATGTGTAAGTAGGTATGTATATTCATCTCGATTTGTACTGAAACAGATACCGAACCATCCTGAACCATACCGAACCGATATTTCGGGATCGGGATCGGTACGGAGTAAAATCCCATACCGAAACGAAATATTTGGTACGGTATCGGTACAAGCTAAATACTGTACCATACCGTACCATGCTCACTCATACAAGAAGTAACTAGACCGGGCTAGTTACCACTTGATGGGAAATGTTATGAGTCTCCCTGTGTTGGGTTTCATCCCGCACTAGAAAAATCAATTAAATGCTACCCCTATATAAAGAAGGTAAAACACTATTTATTAGCATCAATTTTTGGATAAAAAATGGGTTTGAACTTTTTATACGTAAGTGGTCAAATCTCACAAAAATTCCGCTGAGTTTACTCGTCCCACTAAAATTCCAACATATATAAACATAAGAGGTCCTAATTAAGTAGTCCCTATAAAATAATTTAAAATCAAAGAAATTACATTCTTTTCTTTACTGAGAAAGTTACCCATTTTTTAATGACTCTCCACCACATCCATTTTACTTCATAGTAACATGCTAATTAACTTAACCAAAGAAGGTAAACCAATGAATATAAATATATAATTACTCCGAAAGATGATGCTTTTTTTTGGGGGGG